AAGGCTCCCAGTACTTTAGATAAGGAAATCCCAGTACCTTAATCTATTATCTATTTTTTATCTTTTTCATCTTTTTATGTTTTATTTTTTAATCTTTTATCTATCCAGATAAGATAACTCCCAGATAAGGAACACCTAAGTTGTATTAAAATGTTATGCTATTTGCAGGAAGATGAATTTCACTCTGTGAAACCAGTGGTTTTGTTCAGTATATTTTTTAAATGACAATGAGTTTGACAAAAGTGCAGTTTCACTCAGGCTGCAAGATCTTGATATCCTCTTTCTAAAACTTTTAGTAGTCTTCACAGAAACAGAAAAGATTAAGGGATCTGTTGCAACTTACCACTCCAGAACTTCCCACTGAGTGGAGAATTTCTTGGATTCAGACACTGCCCATGAGATAGCTGGAAACTGTTTTTGCACCCAGTACAGTTCTCGTAGCTGTACCCAACACACGTTGCACAGCTCCTGTGGCAAGGTTCGCATTCTCTAGAGATGTCATCAGTGAAGAAGCCATGTCCACACTCACTCACACATGTGCCACCTGCAACAGAAACAGAGCCTCGCATCATGGTGTCTACTGACCCCTGTCAATCCTGACAAGGAGGTACCTCACCTATAGCATCTCTCTGTCTCTAGCAAGAAACAGTTTAAGAAAAAAAACAGTATATAAGAACCCATGAAACTTTTTGTAGCTATATAAACTCTAATTTTTTAGTGTGAAACCTAAATTCATCTCAGTTGCTTGTGCAAATTTCACGAACTTCAAACCAATCTGCACTTAAATTTATGTCTAGATGGATTTTCATACGTATCCTAAATCCTGACAGATACAAATCTTATGGAAGTCCAAATCTAGATAAAAATTTTATGGTTGAGTCCCAATTTTTATACTGGCCCAATATAAAATCTAAGTCCAGAATTCCCTAAGATTGTTAGATATGTATGAATTTTGAGGAGTGGATGAATATCTAGTTCCTGGTGAATATAAAGCTAAACTCAAGTAAATCTGATTCAATTTAAGGGTTGGCATACTGCAGCAAAGCCCCTAGGAGTTGTTACACTGATAGCTTTTTGAGCTTACTCCAATTTCAATTAAAAAAATAGTAGACCACCGGATCACCTCAGGTTGCGACCACATTTTTCCATGAATGTGATGCTTTTGTAGTCCACTACTGGGCACCTTCAGCAGGCAATGCACAAGAATACCATAACCTCAGGATTTCCTGTGATTCATATTTGGCACCATGTCTGAACCAGATCTGCCTGATTTATGACAGCTAAGAGATTCTTAGTCTTGTGTGAATCTGATGTGGAATTTAGTGGTTTTAACTGAGCTCATTTCAGAGTGGTTAAGGCTCATTACTTTATGTGGACCTGAAAGTCAAAGTAAAACTAGACTTGCAAATAGTAAGGAAATGTTTCCATGTCTTTCTGTGAGTTAAAAACCGCTCCTTTCACAAATTCTGAATCAAGTACAGTATTTTTTGTATTTGCCCAGAAGAGTGGAAGTGCATTAAAAAAAAAAAGTGGGAATTTGCAAATACATGGAGCCTTTGAACCAAATGGCACCATTGGCTAACATAACCACCTCACATTAATGCAAAGCACCCGGTTCTGCAAAGTGCTAACTCCCCTCAGTCTCCACCGTCTGTCATAGTAGAGATTCATGAATTTGTGAAGTCAGTTCCAGACTCTTTCTCTAAAGAAAAAGTCTAAAATACTTTTCTATATATGCCAAGCTTGGTACTTTGCTTACCTGAGAGATAAAAGCCTTCCTTACACGAGTCACACTTGTCCTTGTCACAGCTATCACAGTTGCTGGGACACTCCCTACACTGCAGAGAACTTTCATCTCTGTAGGTATTCTCTGGGCAGTATTTATAGCAATGTTGCTTATACCTGTAAGATAAAGTAGAACATCGTTAGTAAGTTTCTTCTGAGGTCACTAAGTTTGCTTTCTGTATGTTTCTAGGTATGGTAATGGTAAAGCTCTATTCTCATCCTAATGAACTGAAATTATTCCTCTAATGAAGGATTCAAAGTGTATTTTTAGTTATGTTACTTATTCAACTGGCAAATATTAACAAGTCATGTTTTCTAATCTCAGGGTTCTTAAGTATAACTAATTTGATTTTCTTTTTTTAATTGTAGGCACAAAAATGAATGCACGCTTAATTAGAAATTACTGTATTGTGGTTGTAAAGAGCTGATTGCTTGTAAAAATATATCATCCAATGCCATTGTTTATAGCTAGATTAAATAGCCTTTCTATCAACATTTTCTTTTGTCATTGGATTTTTACAGAGATCTCTTGTCACTTTGAAAAGCAGGAGAGTTCTTCTTTTCAGTCTATTTAAGTTAAACTTTCAATGAATCTATATATTTTTTCCTTTGCTTAACCTCCTTGCATTTTTAAGTGTGCCTGCTGAGCTGCAAATACCAGAACTGGGCACATGTCGTGGTTTAACCTGGCAGTCAGCTAAACACCACACAGAGCTGTTCACTCACTCCCCTGCAGTGGGAAGGGGGAGAGAATCGGAAAAAACGTAAAACTCATGGGTTGAGCTAAAAACAATTTAATAGGACAGAAAAGGGATGGAAAATAATACTAATGATAAAAGAATATACAAAACAAGTGATGCACAATGCAATTGCTCACCACCCACTGACTGATGCCCAGCCAGTTCCCGAGCAGCAGCCCTGCCCTGCCCTCCCCTCCCCGGCCAACTCCCCTAATTTTTTTGTTCAGCATGACATCACATGGTATGGAATATCCCTTTGGCCAGCTTGGGTCAGCTGTCCTGGCTGTGTCCCCTCCCAGCTTCTTGTGCACCTCCAGCGTCCTTGCTGGCGTGGCAGTATGAGAAGCTGAAAAGTCTTTGACTAGTGTAAGTACTGCTCAGCAACAATTAAAACGTCAGTGTGTTATCAACATTATTCTCATCCTAAATCCAAAGCACAGTACTCCACGAGCTACTAGGAAGAAAATTAAGTCTATCCCAGCTGAAACCAGGACAACACAATATACCAAGAGCATAGAATCATAGAATCATAGAATAGTTTGGGTTGGAAGGGACCTCTAAAGGTCATCTAGTCCAACCCCCCTGCCGTGGGCAGGGACATCTTCAACTAGATCAGGTTGCTCAGAGCCCCATCCAACCTGACCTTGAATGTTTCCAGGGATGGGGCATCCCCCACCTCTCTGGGCAACCTGTGCCAGTGCTTCACCATCCTCAGCGTAAAAAATTTCTTCCTTATATCTAGTCTA